TATATGCAGAAGATCAATTTTTTATTTGTCCATTTATGTTATTTGGAGAACATGAAGAATATAATATAACCGTGTCATATATACATAGGTACATCTCGTATTCCACCGTCGTCCTCGTCCCTCTTCTTGGCAAGTCAGCCGGCTCTCATCGTAGTCGTTCCATCCAGGCGTCCGCCCTTTGGTCATTCTTCTCGGATATTCGTCTCTTCCATCCAGATCATCAACCAAGCCAATGGTTGGAGGGTTGGAAGGCCCTACCGGTTCCTGCAGCAGGATAGAGGGAAAATGCCACGAGCTGCCATGTTCGACTCTCAATGAACCTCGGCATAGTTCCAATCCAGCTTTATTCTATTCAACAGAACACGAGGTTGAGTAATACAAATAAATCGGCTGAGATTTCTGCGATTTTCTCCTTCTTCGGAGCCTAAAAAGGTGGAATCCAAATTATGATTTATTCGACCAAATGTCCCACCCCCCACGGGACCTTCGAGACCAGATAAGTCATCACGTAATTAATGGTGAGATTAAAACCGTTTTTGAGTGAAGAATGCTTGGGCCGGCGAAGGTTAAGTTAGGATCGATAGTACATCTATCAAGTAGACCTCGCCTCAAGTTTATCTCGAGCGATCCATGAACATGAACAGCGACACGAACTGGTAAGACGGCTGAAGGCAGCGTTGGCGGTGTTTGGCCTCCTGAAGGAAGTCACGAACAATCTGGCTTATCCAGAACTTCGCGCTACTGTGTTCGATTCCACAGCTTCCTCTTCGCTCTGTCACCCTGGTTGGAGACAAGAGTGACCAAAGCATTCACGTCAAGGGTTTTGAACATAAGTGAGTTAGCAGTGCACTCAGCGATCTCTTTTGAGATTCAACCGAATCACTCAATATCAAGCCGGACCACGGAGCCCCGATATGCGCAGAATGTCTCGTTTTCGTGATCCGGTGGAATACATGAAAAACTTCAGTGGGCCGGTCATGTTATGAGAAGAGTTGATGACAGATGGACAAGAAGAACAATCAAGCGGGCTCCCATAGGATCTTTGCGATCTAAGGGTAGGCCTGTAGCAAAATGGGGGATATGCTTGTCGATCACACAAAACAGCTGCGAAGGCGGTTGAACGGTTCCTCTCATCGTCACCTTCGTCGAATTCTGAGTCAACCTTTGATTGCAGTAGCGAAAGACGGATACGAATGGTTTGTTACTTGTGCTCGCGCATCAATGAAGACAAGTCGAATGAGTATAAAAACATATTATTAACAATTAGCTTTGAGACACGACTTCGTATTTTTTTTTTGATTTTCTATCAGTGACCAAAATCATCACCTTCTTTCGCTAAGGATTTAAAAACCCCAATTCAAATGTGTACCTTTTCCCAATCATCAGCGTTGTTGATTAATGTAGCTTGCAATATAAGCTTGTGCTGTGGATTGTAGCGATTCCCAACGAGCTCAATTTTGACCTGAATCATACGTCTTAGTATCCTTGCCTCACATCACGACTTTTACTTCTCCAGGTACAACAGAGTTGTCCAAGTTTTAGGAATAGCTCCTATAATATTTACATTTTTGTTATGTCATAGATGGTTACTTATTTTTTGTTCATTATCATTACTGCTGTCAATACCATTTTTACCACTCTATCACCTATTATTTTTTTTGAATTCTTTCTTTTGGATGCATAGAAGTTGGGTAAGAAATTCTTGGCCCGAGTTCTCTGAAATGCTATTTGGGAAGAAGAGTATCAATTTTACAAGAACAGTTCATCGTCTAGCAAAGTAGTGAGTTCCCATCCTTACTATATATAAAGCGCTCGCGTCTGTCTGTCTGTCTGTCTGTCTGTCACGAAATTCGATACTACCTGAAGAAACACGTGGAGAGGTCGGGTCAAGTTTGAAATGGGTTGAGCATAGGGCAAGACCAACAGAGCACACGTGAGCTCAGCGGAGCTCCGCCCCCAAGGGGCGGGGCATGCATCGGAATTGGGCGGGATCACGGGCAAATTCTTCTAATTCGGTCTCATAACATTCCAGACACCGGGAAAAATGTGCAAAGGTGATGGATGGGTCGACAATCAAAATAAAGGAAACTTACCGACGGTGGGCGGAGCGTTCTCGCAGTGGCCGGTACTTACCACAGAGATCCATATCTCGATTTAACGAAGGCGTCGAGGCCAGGAAATAAAATTAAAAGAGTGAGCAAGGCCTTATACGTGCTGGGCATACGTAAGCGCAGCGAAGCTCCGCCCACGAAGGGCGGGGCGTGCGTTGAGGTGAAAGCTTCTTTTCAAAAATGAGTGTAACTTCGTTCGGAAAAGTTATAGAATGCGGGAAAAAAGTGGTTGGAGGTAATGGGACAAATGTGGTCAAATCCCGAAAGTGGGCGGGGTTGGCACCATAGTAGGCGGGGCTTAGATCAAAAATTTATAACTCTATTCAAAAACGTTGTGGGATGCGGCAAAAAGGTGTCAAGTTGTAAAAGAACAAATGTGGTCAAATCCTGAAAGTGGGCGGGGTTGGAACCAAAGTGGGCGGGGCTTAGATCGAAACTTTGTAACCCCGTTCAGAAACGTTCTGGGATGCGGCAAAAAGGGGTGAAGGTGTAAAAGAACAAATGTGGTCAAATCCCGAAAGTGGGCGGGGTTGGCACCAAAGTGGGCGGGGCTTAGATCAAATTTTCATAACTCTGTTCAGAAACGTTCTAGAACCACTAATAACTGCTCAAATATATCGAGCGTGATGCTATCAGCAGTTCTGCGTTCGAGTTCAAGAGAACTGTCTTATTCTGATTATCCAACATTCCGCTGAATGACTCCATCGTGGATAAGTGGCCGTCGACATATACTGCGCGAGTTAGCGTGCATAGCCAAACTGGTTACTAATAAATATGTTTTAGTGAATATTTCAGAGGTTTGTGAATCTCTGAGGTAGTTTTCACCAGCTGCAATAGAAAGCTGAGAATTTGGCTATGAAATGATTCATGGCTCATTAAATATCAACGTTATCTATCAAAATGTGTACCGGAACAGGGTTGTCATCCGATAATACTCCGCAGTTAGGATTGACGATATATCTTGTTGGTGCATTTGTCTAAAACAAGTAAAGTACGGTGTCGTGCTGTTGTAGCGCTAAGATGATTGTTATTAATGGTAGTTGCAGTGGTGCTAATTTTGATCAAAGAAATTATGGATTCATGGCAAATTGAATATGTTTATAGTGTGAAGTTTCTAGGCACTTTGAGAGGAGTGCAATGGCTGGTTTCAGAGCAGAAATTGGATAATAAAACTTGCATTCGAAATTGGAAGCTGGGGACGGGTCTGTTCTGATGTGCCGTTCAAATCGAGCGTAATACCCACAAATCAGAAGGAAAGCGGATAGGACAAATGCGTACTCAATAGATGATGGGAGTCGGAACTCGGGTAAGCATCAGCACCGTTTGCTAACCGCCGAAAACGGTTGATATATCCTGTGTAGAAGCCTGCGAAATTCAGCCGTTGTTCGACTTGGTGAAGAGTCTAATCACAACGAAGGGGTTTCGGCACTGCTCTCGTGTCCAGGCGCAACGTCTTCATTTGTCACTCGGTGGATACGAGATGACGGGCGACTTCAGCATGCGCTGAGGCAGTGGTGCATAGTTTGCTCTCGAAATCAGCAGAGTCCTTGTTGATGTTCAACGCTACTGCCTGGGGCGGTGGCAAGTTCTGTTTAGGGATGAGCGATTCTTCTGCTCATCCAAAGACAACAATGCAAAGACGTTCACCATCTTGACGCTTTTACGGTATAATGGGATTGATTCGGGCTAGAAAAGTGGAATAGAATGGTTGTCGAAATCCTAAAACAACCAAACCCTACACCCGTGCGATGCAATTCAGCTGCATCGGGCTACACCACAAAATCCGGCCACGGAGCATTGGCCATGAACAAGTTCCGCTTGACTGTAGAGGTTTTTTGCTGTCTGCTCGCTTACTAGGTACACGGTCTTGAACCGATGTGTTATGTACGAACTCATTTTTCAGGATTGCCGTAATGTCTTAGGCCTATTCTAAAAAACTGAGGTAGACGAAGCGGACATGTGACACTGAGTTTGTACCCCGTTGAACGAGCTCCTGCAGTTTTGCCCAAATTGGGGCCGCCGATGACGGCCTTGTATTTTTTGCAATGGATGTGCAGCCAGAACCAGGACCAGATTGTATGCTGGATTGGATTAACTCATGTGTGAGAGAAATCGTCAAGAAGAAGGCTGTCAGAGAAGCTCGTTGGAGGAGGAGGTCATTGGAGATCATTATCTCGGTCAGCATCTGATTTGAGTGCAGACATTCAGATGGTTGTATGCAGAGCACTTATTATGAGTATTGTTTTCGGAGCACTCTGCTTTCTTTTCATTGCAGTTGGATACTTTTTAAAAGTCTTGGACAAATTGCCTGGGTTGAGCGGAATATCAGCCACAAATCGGTTGGACAGCAGACCAGAGCTGTATGTAGAACTCAATCCCTACTATATATAAAGCGCTCGCGCCTGTCTGTCTGTACATCTGCCTGTCTGTCTGCACGGAAATTCCGGACTCCGCTCACAAGGGGCGGGGTTCGTGCGAAATAAATGTTGCAGAGGAAAATCATAACTCCTGCTCAGTGAACCTAGAAAGTTCGAATTTGGTGGGAGTACCCCAGGCACTGTGGTAACACTAATGGTAGGTGACAAGACAGGACCCGCCCGCAATGGGCGGGATTTGTGCGAAATAAATGTTTGAGCTGAAAATAATAACTCTTTTTTTCCAGTGGACCTAAAGCGTTTAAAATTAGCGGGATTAGTGAAGGCAGGATGAGAACTTTATGGCGGGGGCAGGATCGTACCACGTCCACGAGGCGGGTTTGCGCCAAAATTGTCAATTTTGCCCTATTGCCTTTAAACTTGGCAGGAGGACAGGCGGCAGTATGCGAACACTTATGGTGGGTAGTGGGGCCGGCTGCGCCCACAGAGGGCGGGGTCCCTTGGAATAAATGTCTGAGCGGGAACACATAGCTCTTTATCCCGTCGTCGTGGAGAGCAGTATCAATAGGAGTAGAAGGGGCAGGATGGGAACACTGGCGATAGAAGAGGCCATAAAGAACAAGATCCAATCACCAGTGAAACTCTAGTGTTTTGTTATTAAAGATCTGGCTTTGATTCTTTGATGTTTCATTTGACACTAAGGGTAAGTACAGTGATAGGGACCGATTAATAAAGTTGAGATTAGCTACTGATGACCAATTTTTAAGGAATGTTGATGTGCGTTTGTCGATTTTTCTTTCTTAGTTGCTTGTCGGGATAATATGCAAGACTGGAGCTGGATATCGCTCTCGAGTAGTGGTTGCAGCACTGTGAAGAACCAGTGGATAATCGTCCTCCTTCGATACCTTTATTTGTGAACTGCTGTGAGTGTTACTAACAAATCTGTCGCACAAAATTGGTACTACGGTACTATATTCTATTATTACTACTGGTACTATATACTATTATTATAGAGCTGCTTCCACCCTCCCAGGCTCAAGCCTCACTGCAATTTCTTTATCTACTCTCACTTAGTCAGACGAAACACTTTGTACTGCCTACTGAATCATTAAGTATGGGACGAGTATGTTTTATATTAAAACCTTCAATAATTTCTTCGCAGGTGCGAGGCAGCCAGTACGCTTCAAGCAATACTTGAGTCTGGGTCTTACGCCCTGGGTTCGTGTTTAGATTAAAGAGGCACCTATTTTGACCCGCCCGGGAACAACTTCGGTTGGTTGCGTTGCCCAGACTTACCTGCACTTCTATGGCCGTCATTCAGTATTGAATCAAACAACTACTGTAGGTAGTCACTGCCTGCTTGAGCCCCTGGCACACTGAGGGCAGTTATCAGTCCTGTGCTGACCTTCTTGAGTCGTCCTTCTGTGTACGGCAGGCTTGGGGTGTTGGAAGTGCGACTCCTTTTCATCTATTCTTTTTTATCTTCCTTTTTGACAGATATTATGCGAGTTTAGCGTTTGTTCCTTTGTTTGTTCTCGCCTTAACACACTTGTCCAAACTAACACCTTCTGCCCTGTTGTAGCGCACCATTGAGTGCACAAATAAATAAATAAATTATAAGAAGATGAGATTTGGTTCACTTCTTGCTTACGACCGCTACCCAGGTAAGTTTGCGATTCAATGAAGGATCACGGTTTCACTTTGCTTTGATAGCATATGCATTCATCGCGAAACTTATCTTACCGCTGATAATATTTGATTTTCATTTAATGATGTATCCGTAGAGAAAAGGAGCTACATTCATAAAGAGATTTGATGATGTTTTGACTTGATATTTTGTTAACTGCTGTTTCAACGCCGCAGTGCGCGAACGAAAGTCTCACAAGATTGGCAATTTGTGGGGCAAAACTCCAGTTTCGGACGGGACGCGAACCCGTACTTGTCCTTTCCGGGGACCGTGCTCTTATCCTTTACACTACCGAGAC